CTATTTCAAACTTAAAGTAAAGTTCTACTTGGCCGATTGAACTGAAACTTTGTAGGAATGATCGAATCATGGTCCTGACAAAGTGTTGTTATTTTTCGGGTCAATCAGAAATACAATTTGGCTGCCATGGCCGCTATTTTGCTACTAAGTTCTAATAGGCCGATCTCACTTAAAATTGGTCTAGGAATTATCAGCTCATGGTCCTGACAAAGTTAAGTTAACATTATACTATTTTTTACTCAAATTGGTACTTATTTCAACAACAAAAATAAATACTGTAGACTCAGGTGACCGTTATGGCCCATGGGCCTCTTGTTAAGGGGATACTTCTGCTTTGTTGCAGTATTATTTGTTATTTTAATGATATTTACTAGCTGTATACATAGGATCTTACATGAGTTTCCATTTCATATGAACTGAAAACGAGTGTAAGATCTTTTTTATCACATTATCAAGTTTGTGGCATTTATTTGTGTAAAACGACAATTTTCATGTAAAATGTAAAAAAAACTGCCATTTCGACTCTAGTGCAGTAGTCTATGATGTCATGTCCTATGTGTGACGTCACAATTGAAACAATGGAAACTTACAACCAATCACAGGGCTGATAAGTCATATTACATTGGATAATATGCCAAAAAAATATAACATGGGTATATTCCCTGGATAACACAATACATTATGGGATAAATATATAGATATGTGAATACTCTTATGGAGTGACTGATACCGCACTATGCTGAATACAGTCATAGCTGAGTGAACGACGACAGTGTGTTGCCATCGGATCTGCCACCTCACATGACAAAGTACTAGATTTCGGGGTTCCTCAAGGGTTTGTGTTAGGACCACGAAAATATTGTATGTACTCCAAACCGATTGGAGAGATTTGTCGTCGCCATAGCCTTCGCTATCATTGCTATGCCGATGACACACAAATTTACATGGTCATAAAACCACAGGACAGTTGGAATACAGTCTCAGAAAGTCTGGAAGCTTGTCTGACAGATATCAGTATCTGGATGAACGCCAACATGCTTAAACTTAATCAGGAAAAGACGGAACTAATCGTCTTTTCCCCAAAGTGTCAGCAAACAATGGCTCTCCAGCTCAAGGTTGGTGCCAGAACTATTGAGACTTTTCCAGCTGTTAAAAACCTAGGGGTATACTTTGACAGTTCTCTGAACATGGAGAAACAAGTGAACGCTATTGCCAAATCCTGTTACTACCAGATCAGGAACACCGTCTGAATTCGGCAGTTTCTAACTGCAGATGCATGCAGGATTTTGGTGCATTCACTTGTTACCTCTCGGTTGGATTATGGTAACGCCCTGCTCTGTGGTATATCTGACAAACTAACTAGTCGTCTGCAGAGGGTCCAGAACACTGCAGCACGGCTAGTTACTCATACTTGAAAGAGAGAGCACATCACACCTGCGCTTTATTCGTTGCACTGGTTACCTGTACGGTACAGGTCGCAGCACAAAGTTCTGGTATACACATACAAGGCACTGAATGGAACAGCTTGTTACCCTGTATCAGCCGTCAAGATCACTGCGGTCGGAGTCAGAATCATTGTTGTGTGTCCCAAAATCTCGTACTGTGACCTACGGAAACAGATGCTTTGGGAGGGTTTCGGCTACGTTGTGGAATAGCTTACCATCTGCTATTAGGAAGTCAAATACCCTGGCCAAGTTCAAGAGGGACATAAAAACTCACCTCTTCATGTCTGCATTTTAGAATCTTTGCAGAGACGTCATGTATATACCACACTTTTATTTCTTCAATTATGTGCACATTGCTTGTTAAATGTATGAAAGTGATTGCAAGCCTTTGTTGTTTGTTTACACAATTATAACCATTACTATTATCCATATGTTGTAAAGCGTCTTAGAGTAATTTTACAAATTATATAGGGTGCTATAAAAATGTTGTATATTATTATTATTATTATCACTCCTCAACATCATTTTTAAAGAGCTAGTCAACAATCAGAAAGACATTTTTGATTGTATGTACTGATATCCTTTGTCACAACATAATAACAATTAAGTAATTGTATTTTAATGCAATGTGGCCCAATATTGTTCATAGTTAAAGAAAGACCTGTATTACCTTAACAGTTGCCCCTCAGATCCATGCCCTGACAGTGACTGACCCGTTCCCCTGGCTCGTCAGAGACAATTATGTAGGCCGTCTGATCTGTGACACTACAGCCGGTAACCCGTCCACCACACGGCACACATGGTACAGGGGCGGTACACCGGTCACTTCTCAGACATCACAGATGATCTCCTTTGGACCACCTATCATCCAGGATAATGGACAGTTATACAAGTGTAAGGCTGAAAACGACTTCACCGACAGCAGAGGATCGGCTCCAGAGTCAAACACCGAAACACTAGATGTACAATGTAGGTGAACTTAAATTATGACATAATACTGCTGTGTTACTATCATTTTAGTAATTGCTCTCCATTATGTTAATTGAAAGAAAAATTAACTAATTTTTAGCTCACCTGGCCCGAAGCGTCCGTCCAGCGTCAACGTTTTACTTTAGACAGCTTTTTTAGGTCACCTGAGAAAAGTCTCAAGTGACCTATTGCGATCGCCTTTTGTCCGTCGTCGTCCGTCGTCCGTTGTCCGTCGTCCGTCGTGCGTCCGTAAACAATTTACATTTTCGACTTCTTCTCCAAAACCCCTGAACCAATTTCAATGAAATTTTGCAGGGACCTTCCATGGACAAAGGTCAACAAAAATAGT